CGCTAGCGGAAGCGCAAGTGTCTGAGAGTGCAAGTCTGAGAGTGCAAGTGCAAGGCTGCAGCTAGACCCTCTTGCAAAATTCATGATTGTGATTCGTGACAGTCCTAGCCATAGACCATATTTGATTTGAGAGCTGCAGCGAAGATGAAAATAATGACAAAATAATGATAAATAATGACAGATTCTTTTTTTTTAGGCCAACAATTCATTTAAACTCTATAGCATCATGTTTATGTAACTAATACACCTGAAATGAGCACATTTAACTTCTAAACTTAAAGCTCCTAATTTTAGGAAACCTAATAGCTACACAAACAAAGCAGACGCATAAAGGAGGATTTACTTCAGACAATGTGTTGGAGGAACAACACTGATTTCCATTTATGCTTTGATATTCAAATGTTCTCATCATAAAGTTTCACTTAAAATGCAGCACATGGCGCTATTACTTTCGTCAGTGTGGCACAGGGATACTGATTCACAACATCTCTGGAGAAACGTTGGTTTCCTCTCTATTTGAAAAAGTGCACTTCAAAAGAATAATCTGGGATTGCTTTATACCATGCACAAATCAACAATGATAATTTTCGTGGAATATAAACTGAAAGAGCAAAAAAAAAATAATTTTCTGAATTTGCACTTTATGATTCATTGTATGTTAATTAGTTATTTCTAAAGCAGTAGTTCTTAACCAGGGAGTCGGGGCCCACTAGGGGGCCTCATCAAACTACCATTAAAATAAGCCAAAAAAACTAAAAATGAACCCAATAGACATTTTCATAATGCATATATGTATTTCTAAATATGCCAAGCTTTAAAATATTTTATTGGGTAGAAATTGTGAGTAAAAAAAAAACAAACATTTTTCATTGTCCAGTAAATCATGAGAACTTGAAAAACCATGGAGCAATCGAATATAGTTGTGGGCAATGTGGGTCTGAGAACAACTGGAGAAGATGGATGAATATGGGAACATTATTTTGGCCATTCAATAAAGTTCTTCAGAATTCCCCCATTAGTAGATTTCATGCCATTAAAACCTAAAACATAAATGCAATATATCTTCCAGATGGTCAAAAGGACTGCCAATGCACTCTGCTGGCTATAGTTTATAATGATCTCACTTGTGTTTCTTACATGTAGCAGCACTTTTTGACATTACAAAGAAATCTTTGATGAAGCAGACGGGCTCTCATTGAGGTCAGCGCTCACACCCATCCTTCATCATTTCCAGTCCTTTCCTTTGGGATGAACACATTTACTTGGGCTAACAAATTGGTCTGATTACAAGTGATAGATTTTGACAAGCTTCAAGTATTCAATCATTACATACATATTACATATTACATCAGTGTATAATATACAGTATGCTGTATATACACCGGTGACCGAAAGTTTTGGAATAATTAAGTATTTGTTAAAAAACATAGTAAAAACAGTTATTTTGTGAAATATTATTGCAATATAAAATAGCTGTTTTCTATTTGACTATTTTAAAATGTAAATTACTCCTGTGACGGTAAAGCTGAAGTTTTAGCATCATAACACCAGTCTTCAGTGTCATATGATTCTTCAAAAATCATTCTAATATGCTAATTTGGTGCTCAAGAAACATTTATTATTATTATTTTTTCAACATTGAAAACAGACTTTGTTGCTTAATATTTTGTGTAAAATGTGATACACTACAGTCAGTGTAAGTACGATTAAAAAAATTAATTAATATTTCTATACATTAAATTGATCAGAAGTATCATGGCATCAATGTATCATGGTTTCCACAAAAATATTAAGCAGCAAAAAATGTCAACATTGATAACTGAGCAACATATTAGCATATTAGAATGAATTCTAAAGGGTCATGTGACACTGAAGATTGGAGTAATGGCTGCTAATAAAATCAGCTTTGCTATCACAGGAATAAATAACATTTTTAAATATATTCAAATAGAATTAAAATAACAGTTGTTCATAAATTTTTATTTTTTTACTATATTTCTTTTACAAATAAAGGTGTGCATAAAGCACTTCTTTCAAAAACATTTAAATCTTTTAATTATTCTAACCTTTTGGCCTCCAGTGTATATAATTTTAATAAATGATACATATGTAATGTACTTCTACTCTTCTGTTAATTTCTTCTATTAAGCTTTCTTTCTGACCATTTTCAAGACGCATCTGTCACAAATCAGCTGTGCAATAATTGTCCCCGCTGTTGAATTCCTCCTCAGAACTCTGAATGGCTGACCGTAACACCGCAATGAGACCGTAAGGGTCTCATTGCAGTGCTGAGTTGCCCATTTATCTCCTGTGACTTCCTGACCTTTTTTTAGAGGGAAGGATGCGGTGGTGTTCGGTTGGTGCCTGACTCATCTGTCCCTATCCCTGTTGAGGATGGACTGTCCTGTAATGCCACGACAGACCCCACACCCTTCTCAAGCGTCTCGCATAATAACAGCCTGAGTGTGCCAGTCCATCGGAAGGAGATCTAAATATAAAATACAATACCGCCAGGGTTATCGCTAACACAGACGGGGGGCAAGGTGCCTGTAAAAATGCACTTCCTCTGCAACTCATCCACGTGAAAATTCCTCCACCCAAGAACAACATGTCACTGTATCATCTCAATGACTTTGAGACCCGACTGCTGATATTCATACCTGAAGGGAGAAAAGGTCGACCCTGCAAGCTACAGTCTGAGAGGAAGAATTTAAAAACTGGCTCCCTTTTAACTGATGAATGAGAATTTGAAAAATATTGGCCATGCCCCACAGGAACTTGAATAGGATAATAAACTGTTTGTCTACACTAGTACAGATATCTATCTGTTTGTATGCCTCAAAAAACCCTTAAATTAAAAAAAAAAATAAAAGTGACGTCTTAGAAATACTTGTGTATTGCAACTTATATACCATTCAGAAGTTTGGAGTACGATTTGTTTCAAAGAAATGTTTCTATTTCACATAAATACTGTTCTTTTGAAGTTCCAAGTCATCAAAGACTGTATCAAAATGTACCATGGTTTTTAAAAAATATGAAGCAGCTCAACTATTTTCAACATTGATAATAATATGAAATGTTGTTTGCGCATCTAATCAGCCTATTAAAATGATTTCTGAAGGATCATGGGAAAAGCAATGATCCAGATGTTGAAAGCCATGTAGTTTAAATGGGTTTTATCCCACAGTCATTAAAATGAGGAGCTTTGCCAGTAACTGCGCTGAGCTGTGCAGAGGACAACACTAGTTCTTTGTTTCCACAGAGTCTCACGCACTAAATTCATGGTGTGGAGCATGCTTGACTTAAGCATGGACATGTCACCACCCTTCCTTAATGAAAACCACAGGGACTAAACTGTTGCCTTTTAAGGGCACGTATGGTACATATGCTACACATATACCCCCACCACAACTTCCAAGAGCACCTAACACTGTTTGCTTTTGGCTGAGGATTTAAAAGGGTGGGGGCTGACAACCAACTCGACTGAAAAACCTGACTAAGCAAGATATCCGCTAACATAGCTCCAACACACCTGCCCAACCAACACCTCTCAGCAGGACCAATCAGCCGTTACAAGGAAAAGATTAGCCTGGATTCTAGGAATGTAATGGAATATGATCTGTTCTTTGTCGTGCCACAGGTTCAGGACCATTTTCCATTAACCCTCTATGTTTCAGAGTCAAAATCACCCTCCTGTCAAGTCGGAGCAGGAGAAAACCAAAGAACTTGAGGAATAGCAGCCCACAGAAACTCCCGTTCTCATTCATTCACTTCCCCTATTTAATGCTCAGCATGTGCAGAGTAGACATATTTTCCCCAGAAGTGAAATATTTAATAAGTGGAGGATGATTGTATTTCCTGCCTCTGCCAATGTCCAGGCCCAGTGAAGCTTCCAAGTGACAACTGGCCTCGCCTGCCACTGGAGACCTTTCGGTCAGGATGCAAAGTGATGACATGAGCCTTCTCAGGACAGAACGGTGCAACTCCCTTCATAATTTATTTGGACATGGCCAACGTCAACAGAACAATCCTAAATTGGACCATTTGGAAAACGCGAACTCCACCTTACTCTAAGTGCTACCCTGCCCTCACATAATGCTTGTTAGTTTATTTGACATGCATGAACAAATTCTCCTGCCAAATGTTGGACAATAGCTGGATAAGGTGGAAGTGTTGGCTATTCCTTTCACAAGTGACTCTGCCAGTTGGCATGCAGGAATATTTGCTATCATAAACGGGAATGCATTGATTGCAAACATTCCACTCAGATACTGATTCCATGGCGGCCATGACAGAATGGTTCTCAGCTGTAGTTATGGCTTATGGTTGGAGGTTGTGGCTTGTAATTTGGTGAGGTCTGGAAATCATTCACTAGTATGAGGGGTAAACGCCCTTCTATATGGCTTCTTTATCAATTCAGCCATGTCATCTTACACTCTGCCAATCCCAAAGACAACTAAATGCTTTCAGTCCTGAGAGATACCAGCAATCCGAATGCAACGTAGACCTTGCTCTCTGAACTCACAGCAAAGCAACAATGGGGTTTAGTTGCAACATGCTTTGTGTTCCAAGAACAATTTTTCATATTGTTGCGACATCATGGAGAGGATGGTATTGTTGTTAAAAAAAACATTTATTTGGTATTAAAATTAGTTGGGCTGCCCTCGACTAAGGATTTTTCTGGTCGACTAGTAGTCGTTCATTTTAAGCATTAGTCGACTAATCGCACGTTTATTAATAAACCATTTAAATCATTATAATGAGCCTTTAATTGCCTACATAGCCTTTTAAGCGCTCAAGCACACGCTCAAACTTGCCACAGCACACCGGCAGAAGTAATGATTATGAATATGTCAGTGAAAAACAGTAAGGAGGCTGCATTAACATTTTAATAATTTGATAAACTAGTGCTTTCTTTGTTCTTGGTTTAAGAGATGAACTGACTCATCATCACCGCAGTAGTGATGCACCTTGTTTCATACGGATTACATAATCTGAGAATATTTGTTTTCTATTTGAATTGGTTCATTTGAAAGTAGACATTTCACTCTCTGTAGATATATTTTTAATGTCTGTAAGGCAAAGATATATATGGAGTTTCGCGCTCGAGTTAGCAGAGACCAAAACGGAAGAAAGCACATCCGGTTTGCTTTCTTTATTTTACAAAAGTGCTTTTTGTTGATATTGCGAGTGCACACAAATAAACGTAGAGTCTTTACAGATTTGAAAGATGTATTACTCTTATCTGTATGACCAAAAATGACAGAGTATTTTAAGAGCGAGTGAGTGCACCGGCGCCTCAATCTGTCCTGCAGTGAGCACTATACTGTTCAGCTTCACACTCCACACAGACACTTGAAGAGCGCACATTTCTCTAGGTTAACATTAGATTAAGCGGCCATGTAAAGTTGCTAATACTTACATATTTCAGATGATAAGCCATATTTGAGGTCGATGAATGATAGGCGAGCGTTTGTATGTTCTGCCTGATGTACTATATTACCATAGACTAGCTGTTAACAATCTGTCCGTCACGAACTGCTTGACCTTGTCTGTGGATTTTTGTTTGATTTATTTATTTTTTCTGCGACTAAGCGACTAATAAATGTTGGTCGACCAAGCCTCTTCTGTTCGACTAATGATTAGTTGACTATTAGGGGGCAGCCCTAAACATTCGTTTATATAAATAATATCAATTATAAGTTGTGCTATAGTCTAAAATTGGTAAAGCAATGACACAGGAAGTAAAGGCATTGAGAATGTTTTAACAACTCCTACTCAAGTGAAATCTGATCTGGTTTAGCAGAAGTTGACAATTGACAGTTGAAACACCTCCATGAACAGCATTCACGTCCTGTTCTTTGCTCCATTTTTTGGATTTTCTTGTAAGGCATGCCTTACACATTATCTGAAGTGTTACTTCCTTGTTTAATCTTTCCTATGCTCCATATATTCTTTTAATGCATCGTTGTGAAGATGTTTGATAACATTCTTCAAAAAGACTCTCTGTGAATTAAATACTTAAAGATTTTATCATTCCCTCAGGAATGTGGGACCACTTGAGAACAGCTGGGTGGATGGAGCAATGCTTTCTTTTGTCACAACAATTATGCCTGCAAAATAAATGGGAAGTAGGCCTTTTATTTAAGCTCATACACAAGAACTTTTTTGGAATACTTAAGAAACCACAAAAACAGACTAAACTGAGAAAAAAAAGTGTTCACCATTGGCATCTGATCAATGTGTGAACAACAATGCTCTTCACCCAAATAACAGATATATCATAAAGCATCTGGTGGTCTCTTCAGCTGAGAGTTGCTGACTTGGAAACCCACATGACTGCTGCGGGAGGTCACCAGAAGGTTTCCCATCAACATAATTTGGCTAAATTTTTTTGCTGTGTCAGCTGGGACATTCAAAGCAGCAAGATTCGCTAACCCTGTCCCCCCCTGCTGAAACAAAGCAAAGACATGACCAAACATGACACTGTGGGGCACATTCAGTTCCCCTTTGCTCAGATTCCTCTTTTATCATGTTCCATGCTGCATTTACACAAGGAGAAGAGATTGATGGTTTAAATTTGACAGCCCCCTATAGCCCATATGGTGAAAACGGCAGAAAAGTCTTGAAAATGCATACCGCTCTGACAGGCATGTTCCCCGATTATCAATCTTTCTGCAAAATTTAGTTCCAACTCTAATCAAACACACATGAACCTGTTAATCAGAGTCTTGCTTAAAATGATTGTGTAATTATGTAAGAGCATAGGTTGAGCACACAATGAACTCTGTTGACTGTTTAACAAATGCACAAGCAACCGCTAACACTTGTAGATATGTTTGCAAAACAGTCCAGGCCTGTGACGCTAGCAACTGGTACTGCTAACTTGATGTTCCTGATCTTGTCCTTCACAACCATCCTTTATGCCAATATTCTTTAACCAACAGAGCCTGCAAGTTGTTGCTGGTTTTGAACCTTATCTCTCCTTGTCTTGCAGTAAAAAGCCTGAAACCTGCAATCATGTGTAAATTCCTGCCTTGCATGTACCATGCTCATGCAGGACAAATTAAACAATTAAGCTCTGGTAGGGTAAAGTTGTGGTCAAAAGTTTAGGAACAAGCATTAAAGATTGTACATTTATAGTTGAATTAATTTGCTAATAATTCCATGTTTAATGCTATCACAGTCTGTTTGTATATTTTCTAGAAGTACCAAATACTAAATACTGTATTACACTGACACAAACAATTACAAAACAACTGTTATAAATAGCTAAACTGTGTGTGTTTACTTATTTTTACTTACTGTGAGGAATATGAGTCTACGAGTTGCTGAATGGTTATTCTACAAATGCACAGCTTCCTATTCAGTTGACTGTTTACCTGAAAGTGGCTCCCTGGGTTTGACCTCAGGCACCTCCTCCACCGGCTCCTTCTCAGGCCCCTGAGATGAGTGGTCCTGCATGGACTCCCTCTTCATTTTGCCCTTGCCCACCATCTTCAGGAAGGAGAGTCGACTGGTGGAGTCAGGATCAGTTTCTGAGCACAGGTCACCATTGGTCAAGCTCTCCTTGCACTTTCCGGCCATTCTATAGAAGAAGAAAGTTGATGAGGAGAAGCATGCTGTGTGTCTGTTCTACTAGTGGCAACAAATGGAACTGCAAAAATCATTTTACAAACACTCCTACCTCCCATTTGCAATAAATCACCACAAAAAAAGTTATTAGTCCTAAACAGTTTATCTCACTCTGTTTCTTTCTCATCTTAGTGCTGGGAACCGATATGGGCCGTCCACTTTTCAGCTGCCTTTTTCTCCATTCATTTTTCCCATGGGGATTTTAAAACAAGTCTTTGTAAAGGAGTTATATAAGTCATGAACCAACCAGCTACAAAGTGAATCACAACATTACAAACCGTGAATTGAAGCAAAACAGTATTGGAATAACGGACTGTGTTCTTATGTCTTAATTTATGCATTTAAATCCCATTAAAATGAACCAAATCCACACTGTAGGAGAAAAAAAAATCTTCTGCAGTGAGTTGCAGTTCCTTTCTGTACAAATACTGGCCACATAGACACAGATGAGGAACACAAGATGGACAGAGAAGATGGGAAAAGTACTGGTAATATCTACGCAAATGATGTTATAAGGGGTCAAATTGGAATCAATGCAAGGCAAATCATCTGAATTTACAGGTACCGAGATGAATAATTCACTCAGTCTTCATGCTTTCAGTTGATGTGTGCTGTGTGGATAAATGAAGAGAATAACACCATGTTGGTTCTTCAGGAGGTGATTGTGTCAAGATCAGAAACTACAGAGCAGCTGCAGTGTGTTTGGTACTGCTGTGTGTTCTTCTGCTGACTGCAGTCCGTGTGTCACACTCACTCAAGAAATGCAACAGTTTTTATCCAAGAACATAAACCTGACCAATGAGAGAGATCAGCTAATACTCAAGAACATAAACCTGACCAATGAGAGAGAACAGCTAAGAAATTAACTTCTGATTCTTGGTAAAGCTTCTTTAGTCTATGCAGTTATTTGCTGCAATATTTTTAAGCAAAATGTGTCCGTTTCTGGTGTCATCTGCTTCCACTTATTTTTAGCTGTACAAAACATCTCTTTATGCTGCTTGATATTACAAACTGGTTTTTCTTACCATATTATTTTTTTGTATTGTTATACATATTTATTTGTGTAAATATAAACAAACTGGTCGGTAGCGCAAATTGCTTTATTGTTTACTGCACTTTGTTATTTTTATTCTTTTCCATATCAAACATTCAAAAATTAGGTGGACACAGCAGATATGTTTAAAGCATGATGGAGTTGGGTTGTGGTCTCAGTAACTTTCAGTGTACACAATCTATAAGTATACTATCTGTTATAAGTCACAGACAGATGAGTGTAAATGGGAATAAAAAGCTAACAGCTGAGCTGGTTGTGTTTACAGATGGATGGACTTACTATCAATTCGATTTTTACTACATGTCTAGTGAGTCGAAGGACTTGAATGAGAGCAGAAGATACTGTATAGAGAGAGGAGCAGATCTAATTTTCATAAACAACAGAGAGAAACAAGATTTTAGTTTTATGTGTGTTTATATTTTTTAGCGGCTAAATGAGAGATGGTCAGGTTAAACGTGTCCGTTGTCTGTTTATGATATAAATGTAAGTGTAATTGTTTAATCTGCTCAGGTTACGAGGGTCTGGAGAGCCAAAATGGACATCGAGCAGAGAACTGTGGTGTGATTGTGGATAATGACCCAAGGTTGCCTACTGTATTTAGATGGCATGATGTTGCATGCAACAGAGATTTTCAATGGATCTGAGAAAGGGGAGGTTACAGCTCATACTGCTATAGGAACATCACACACCTTTTGACAAGTTTAACAAAATAACTTCTCATCATCTAAAGCAGTGTTTCTTAACCATGCTCCTGAAGCACGTCTCCTTTGTCACTGCTTAACTGGTTCAATGAGGGAAAGAACTTAACTTGAGAAAAGATGGAGGAATATAAAAGTATTACTTTAAAGATGTTGATTATATATGCAATTATATATGCTCTTCTGAACCGGTTCATTTTAATTAATAAACTACTGATTACTACGTATACAATGCTTTTATGACCTTTTTGGATTTTATAAACTTTTTGGAATTTACATTTTTTGAATGAAATATCCTTTTAAAGGCCAATTATTGGACTGCATTTATGCCACGTGCATTTATGACACTTGATAAAAGTTTGTATAGACACACCTTGAAGTAATTAACTCATTAATCAACGGTTAAGGAAGCATTAAGAGGAAACGGAAGCCATCATACCGTAGCAAGCTCCCTTCTGAACTCCGTCGGCCCTTCTTCTTCCTCTGCATGGGTGAGGCTGAACCTATAGAGCCCTGTGGGGAGGGGGCGTCCTTTCCCTTGCTCCTGCCAGACATGCGCAAGTTCTTGCCCAGTTTTCCTAGGGTCTTGAGGGGAGAGACCCCTTTCATGCGTTCCAGGGTGCTTTTGATGGAGCCTCCCTTCCCTGATCTTCCACGCCGCACCTCATTAGCCTCATTTTCACCCTCCTCATCCTCAAACAGGTTTCTGTCCCGGGGCACACGCCCATCCAGAAGTGAGCCTCCGTTGCTTCTGGGCCAGTCCTCATCTGAGCCAGGCTCCTCAAATGGATTGAGGTTAAGACTCATTTTTCTGAGAATGAACTCACTACGTGTAGTCGACAAATCCACGCTGAACCTGCCTCCCTTCAGGCGAGACGGGAGGTTCTTAAGGACTGGCATGGTTGCGCTGGGAGGATATATGCTGGAAGAGAGATAAAACAATTAAAGGCATATCTTTCAACATCACCACTACCAGTATGAACTGAGTAAGCCATTACAGATGCACTCTGACTCTGCTTATACAAACAGGAAATTACTGCCACATGGGCCAGTACACTGGCATTCATCCATGATGCTGCTATTAGCTTTCACTTTTTATGAAAACTTTCCTTCAACTTCCTTGGTTCTTTCCAGTTTACAGCACAGCTGAAATTGCATAGTACAATGAACATAGAAATCAAGAAAGTGGATCTTGTGAAACAGTAGATTTCAATAGTGTCTGATATGTAGTGTGGGTAAATGACATATCATCTATTCATTTATATAAAATACAGTAAAGTTGTTTGGCACATTTATTTAATACTTATGCAATAAGTATGGCTTCACATGAATTGGAATATATACACTACTGTTCAAAAGTTTGGGATCACAATTTAAAAAAAAAGAAATGAATACTTCAATGTTAATTAATACAAAATAATAAGAGGTAATTGCTACTTTTTATCTCACAATTCTGACTTTTTCCTCAGAAATGCATGTTATAAACTCACAATTCTGACTTTGTTTTCTCAGGATTGCATGATATAAACATGCAAATGCAAGAAAAAAATTCTGACTTTATGACATGCAATTGAAAGCTATTAAGTCAGAATTGTGAAATATAAACTCGCAATTGTGAGAAAAAAGAAACTCACAATAAACTCGCAATTCTGAGTTTTTTCTTGCAATTGTGAGTTTATATCTCACAATTCTGACTTTATAACTTGCAATTGCAAGTTTATATCATGCAATTCTGAGAAAAAAGTGAGAATTGCGAGATGTAAACAGAATTGTGAGATAAAAAGTCGCAAATACCTTTTTTTACATTTTTTTATTCAGTGGCGGAAACAGGCTTCTTTGATATCCATACTTCTTTATTCAGCAGGAGTACAATCAAATAAAAAAATAAAAAAATAAAAAACATTTTCAAAAAACAAAGAAAGATCAGTAAAGACACATGTTTTTGTTTTAAATTAATTAGATGTTAAATTGTTAAATTAATGAGTGAACTCTCTATTCATCAAAAAATACTAAAAAAAGGATCATGGTTTCTACAAAAATATTAAGCAATTATTAATATTAAGCAGAACTATTTTTCAACATTAACAATAATAATAATTTTTTCAGAACCAAATCAGTGTATTAGAATGATTTCTGAAGTAATGAAATTCAGCTTTGCTATCAAAGGAATAAATTACATTTTAAAATACAGTATATTCTAATAGAAAAACGGTTATTTTAAATGATAATAATATATAAGTATCTTACCATTTTTTTTTACTGTATTTTTGATCAAATAAATGCAGCCTTGGTAAGCATAAGACTCTTCTTATTGTATCTATGTTTTAAACTAGACTTGTTCTTTTCTTTGTTGTATGACACATGTACCGCTCAGCCCCATTTAATTTTACTGACGCACATCTACTCAATATCAACATAACATCATCATAGCAAACAGTATTACACAACAGAGATAACAGATCTGACAGTTTTATATGTAAGATTACTGATTTTATGATGGGTAGAATCAGAAGCACGCCCTTTGGTTAATCTTGAAGAGAACTTTTGATGTTGCGCCTGCCTACATTACAAGTGTAATAAAATATTTGTTATACTCAAATGGAAGTAAAATAACACATACAGCCTTGAGAATGAGAACAAACTTATTCTGGCTAGGACAAGCAACCCAAAACATATATCTGACACGACACGACTCACCCAGTGTTATGCCTGAACATACTAAATCTTGTGTAAATAAACAAAAGGAGGCTTCAACTTGATGAACCGAGTCTATTTCAAGAAAACATGTTTGCCTCTTTCAAAGGCTTCTTTGCTAGAATAGCCCTCTTGGATATTTATGGCTGGTGACAAAAGGGGATAGGAACATCGCTGAATCACTTCCGGTTTGCTAATTTGTGTATGTGTGTGTGTATACGAGTGGGCCGATTCTTAATGAATGATTAGCTTTGGGTTAACAGCCGTCTACCTGGCTTCCTCGCGATAAAAACTACATTCTGCCATTTTAACAATAGCTCAGTAAACAAAAAAGAAAAATTATATTACCGACATGTTTCTGAGATCAAAGTCATCTTCCATGCAGTAGCTTGGAGACCAATTTCAGTGTGTAACAGCCAACGAGCTTTAAATTCCTAGAGAGGGTCTATTGTTTGTGGCTTCCTACCTCTTTTAAATAATTATGTCTGCATGATTTTTCCATATGGGTCACCTACCATTCAGGACTTATTCTTTCATGATCATTTACACTGGAAGATGTGGGTAAGGCCATGAACATACTGAAAGTGGCCAACAGAATTTTTCAACTGTTTGTCGATATAATAAAAATCAGTGGGGAAACAACATTGAACCCCATTGACTTTCATTGTATGCACAGAAAAACACTGAAACGTGTTTTACAGAAAAAAGAAAGTCTTACCGATTTAGAATGGAATGAGGTTAGTAATGATGAGAGGCGTTTCATTTTTTAACCTGACTTGCCACTTGATCATTGAATCACCAGTAGGATTTAATTATTAGACAAGAAGGAAATTTACATAGAAAATGGAGTGAATGAGGAGGAGAACATAAGTTACGCAACTGCTTAACAACAGAGTTCATTTATGCTTAAACTGTTTAACAGGGGATTAACAAGTTAAGTTAATGAGTTAATAAGAAAAAAGTGACCCAAATGTCTTACGGCAATTGAAGTTCCATTGCAAATCATCTTCTCTCTCAACATTCCCACTGAAATTCCAGCTCTAATTATAAACCTTACAGTTGAGCCAATATGGAACGTCGGGTTAGATCATTGGGTGAGATATAAAAGCCATACTACCACTTTCCCAGACCAACTCCTCTTCCTGTCTCATACAGGTAGAAGACAAAAGGGACAGGTCCCCCGCATTACAGCCAATGGCAGTGGCATTCTCTAATAAGTGGATAACTGGATAAATTCAAGGAGAAACCTATATGTCACTGACTCACTGTAAAAATATGATGTTAAATTGGCATCTGTGTATTATGGGATGGCATAATGGTGCCTGTATATTTTTACAACAGACAAAGACAAAATATTAAATATAAAATACTGCAATGAACATTAACTAAATAGATAATGTAAACACTCTAATGTACATTACAGATAACAGAAAAAAGAAGTAAATGACAGAATACAGTAATTTAACTTGCTAAAATCATCAATTAGTAAAATTACATATAATGTGATATTAAAAGGGTAATTCACCACTGACAAGATGGGGTTTTAATAAAAATCAGCTGTCTATGCAGTAGAAACATGATTTGTTTTTTTTAAATCAGTGCTAGAGAAACAGAGAAAAGGGGCTGTTGTGAAAAAAGGTAGGAAAACTTCAATGCCCATAATGCATTGGGCTTCATCAGGGATACAAAAATGCAGAAGTATGAACTGTGGTTTTCACAAAAACGCTAAAGCTGTAAAAAGACTGCCAGGTGGCCTGTTTGGAGACTTCAACAGACGGAAGAATAATACAGATTTTGTATTTACTTATACTACAGACACTGTAATAATGCTGGTTAAAAACTGTTGAACTTAAGCTTTAAACCATTTAGTTTTTCACTGTATGTGGTAAGTAACAGTTGGCCAAATAAGTTTTTTTTTTTTTCCTGGAAAAACTATATTCTTGTTTGTACTTTTTGGTTAGTGTCAAAGATGGTTTCTGGAGGATGCCAAAATATCAACATCTTGTGAAATCTAAGACGCATAAGCTTAGTCTCACTCTGTTCGCACCATAATCCTCCTCATCTGCATCTACCATTTCAAAATTATGCGGAACCACTGCAGTGCCAGTATGGTTCAAAGTCTACAGCCATCCTGTCTCTTAGCAGGGATGGGCAGTGAGTTACACTCAAACGGAGGGAGGACTGGTCTTCACATGTGACAGACAGAGGCATTGATTCTGTTGTAGCTTTGGGTTTCAGGCTCTGGTTAAAGGAAAAGCACTGGAATGTTGGAGAGAGCCAAAGACAACCTCCCAATGACTTTCCCCAAGGTGGAGTTTCAATGCTCCTGAATTCATAGGGTAATGCAAGCACATGATCTCAAACAGGTCCAGTAAAATTTAGATAACGGATTATAAGTGTTTTAATTGAAAATAGATCTGGTTGATAGATAGATAGATAGATAGATAGATAGATAGATAGATAGATAGATAGATACTAGTTCTTGGTTCTGCTGTTAAACGTCTGTTCTCCCTGCTATGTGTGTGTCTTGCTCCTGTGTTTCCTTGTTTGGATAAATAAAGATGATTCCATGTTGATCTACTCCGACGTTTCCTCGATTCCTCATTCCCCCACAGTAGCAGTAGCCGAATCGTGACAGAACAGCAGACCTGAAAAAAGTAAGCAGCGCCCCTTCTCCTCGTTTTTCTTTTTCCCATTTTTTTGAAAGTTTTTTTTGTTTCCTGGTTTCTCCCCCCGCGGCATGGAGATCGCTGCTCATTTCCTCGCCATATCCCGCCAAGATCTCCCCTTTTACGAGTATGCCGGGAAGTTCTGCAAGCTCGACGCGGCGACGGCGTTGGATGACGCCACCCTCAATCGTCTGTTCTGGCTTGGGGCCAACTCCAGATCCCCAGTTCAGCCCAGGGAGAGCTCCCGATCCCCAGTTCAGATCCCCAGTTCAGCCCAGGGAGGGCTCCCGATCCCCAGTTCAGCCCAGGGAGGGCTCCCGCTGCTATGTGTGTGTCTTGCTCCTGTGTTTCCTTGTTTGGATAAATAAAGATGATTCCATGTTGATCTACTCCGACGTTTCCTCGATTCCTCATTCCCCCACAGTAGCAGTAGCCGAATCGTGACAGAACAGCAGACCTGAAAAAAGTAAGCAGCGCCCCTTCTCCTCGTTTTTCTTTTTCCCATTTTTTTGAAAGTTTTTTTTGTTTCCTGGTTTCTCCCCCCGCGGCATGGAGATCG